CTATGAAGGTACGTAGGGAACAAGAGGACAAAACTAAAGTACAGTAGTGTGAGCAGTGCTACTTAAATAGGGCAAGGCGAATAGAGTTTAATAAGTACAAAACACTGAGTTGGATCAGTGATGTATGTGAAACAAGTTTCACTGGGTTGTATCAGCGATGAGGATGAAACATAATGGAGATGAAACGTGATGTAAGTAAAACATGATATAAGTGAAACATGATGGATATGAAACACTGTTGTGGGTGAAACACATCAAGTGATGAGATCAGTCATACAGTTACAGGATCAACAATAAATAGTTAGGAAAAGAAAAGGAACCCCCCCTCCAATGCTGTAACACCTGGGGGTCACTGCTGTATCCTTCCAATGCTGTGATGTACTCAGTGACATTAACTAGTAGCTGTAGATTGGGAGCATGGTCGAGGCTACCATTGTCAGAGACATCAAAGGCGAGAGGCGGCATAGTGGGAGAATTGGTAGATGCAGCAGTGGGACTGTCAGGGTTTGGAGAGGATGAGGTGTTAATAGGCAATGAGGAGGGGAATATCTGTGCAGGAGCCACATGGTAAGATCCAATGGATGCATCTGAGGTGTGGGGAATTTCCAGGGGTCCAGGGAACTGGCTCAAGACTACTGCATTGCTATTAGAAGAGTCCAGGGATCCTGGGATGAGGAATGGATGGCAGGTGATGTTTGACAGGGGGGGTGTGAATGGATATTGGAAATCTCCTTCATCAAGGAATTTCTAAAGAAGAATCATCAGATTCCTGCTGGGAAAGGAAGCTTAAGATAGGCCAGATGGGAGTGGGCATCTCTATTATCCCAGCTGTGAAATGTTCTTCTAATGCCTGGAGGTGGGAAGGGTAAGGGGTTGGTGCTCTCTGGGAGCCAGTTGTTGGAGAACTGTTGCACCTAGGAGCCAGAGGGCAACAGTGCGGGTCCATGTTAGAAGTTGCATTGTTGTTCCTTGTGCGGTTATTGCGCTCAGCAGGCATGAGGGAAAGCCAAAAAGAGATTTTTCTTGACAAAACCAGACCCAGAATACAAAAGAATCCAACTACTACAGACAAAGAAAATCCCCATACACTAATCTTGATGCTCCCTGATGTACTCAAAGTACACCTGCATCGGGTTGTTGCTGTCATGATTGGCAGCAATGATGGGGAGAGTGGTCGTGGTATGCAGGAGGGGCCGCTGAGCTGTTGCGGCAATGTTGAAGGCCCACTGGTGTTCACGTTCCAGATGCTGGATTGTGAGATGAAGGAGGAGAGGGACAATGAGGGCAAGGGTGAGGACTGAGAGGAGGGTCATAAGGATGAGGCCCAGAAGGGCTAGGAGGAGGAGGTGGGTGTGCATGTCGGCGATGATGAGGGTGGTGGCGGCGACGAGGGGGGCGAGTTGGTTCACCACTACAGAGGTCAGTAAAAGAGGTAGGAATGAGTTGAACTGGAGGCGTTACTTGTACTTCTGCTGGCCACTCAGGGGTTTGGTCGATGATAGGGGTTGTTGGTTGGCGGGGGAGGATGACTTCGACTTTGTAAGTCTCTTTGAAGTGGAAGAAGGCGAGGGTGAGGATGAGGATGAGGGTGGCAACAAGGAACCAAGTGAGAATGAGGAGTGCGGCGAGGATGGTGATGGATGCCATTGCAGGTATGGAGAGAGATAGCCCTTATAAAGAGCCATCCTTTGTTTGGTTGCAGAAAGTCTGCCAAGGTGTCTTTGGCATGTGATAGTTCGGCTTTTGGTAGCCAGGAGTCATCCATGGCCAGGTATCCTTTCCATCATACCCAGTACAGTGTTCGCTTGCCAACTGTCTTCGAATCAATGATACATTGAATTTCAAACTCCTCCTGGTTCTTGATTAGTTCCAGTAGAGGTTGGAGGTAGTTCTTCCCATGCATTGTTGTTTCCAAATAAGGATAGAGTAATCCTGCATGGAATACTGGATGAATCTTCCATGTAGGTGGTAGTTTCAAGCAGTAGATGACTGATGACAGCTTCTGATTGATGGTGAAGGGGCCATAGCATTTTGGACCAAGTTTTGCCTTTAGATGGAGTCCTTTGAGGTTAGTGGCTTCTAGCCATACCTTTTGTCTGGGCATATATTCAACAAACTTGTCCTTATTGCATTTCCTGATTGTTTCTTCTGCTAGTTGAATACTGGATTGGATTTCCGTGCGAAGGTGTGCTAGCTGAGTAAGTCTTGAAGCAATGTCAGGAGCATCCGTTGTTTCCACAGTGGGAATATTGTGCTGAGGTTGGTAACCTATAAGCGCCTGGAAAGGGGACATCTTGATTGTATCATGATATCTATTGTTATACACAAATTCTGCTAGCAGCAGATGGTATGTCCAGTCTGTTGCTCGGTGATTGCAAAAGATCCAAAGATATAATTCCAGGTCTTGGTTGACACGTTCTGACTGTCCATCAGTTTGGGGGTGAAATGCACTAGAGATGTTCTGTTTGATGCCTAATTTAGTGCATAACTCCTTGAACATTCGTGATGCAAATTGGGGTCCTCTGTCAGAAATAGCTTTGACAGGTAGTCCAAATCTTTGGAAGACATGGTTCTGATACAGGGTGGCAGTTTCAGATGCTGTGACTGTTTTGTTGCAGGGTATGAATACTGAAGCCTTGCTACAGTCGTGATCAGTTACTACCAGACAGCTGTTAAAGCCTTTGCTCTGAGGAAGATCCGTAATAAAGTCCATTGCAATGGATTGGAATGGAAGACGATGTTCCGTTGAGATGGGTACTAGATCCGGTGAGTTCCTATGTGTGATGATCTTGTTTTCTTGGAAAGTTGTGCAACCAGTGACGTATTCACTGACATCATGAGCAAGGGTGGGCCACCAATAGGTTCTTTAGAGGATCTCTTGTGTTTTGTAT